ATCAGCAATGCTGATAGCAGGAAGAGAGGAAAACAGATGGCCCTATCTATACGGGAAGTCGGCACAAATCTCACCTCCGCATCCCAACCCCGAAACATCCTCACCACGCAGATAGAGACATCCTCGCGTCATTGCTGGCAAAATAGATGGTGCACCAATTGTCCCGTCGAGATAGGAGCTGGGCTGGGTGGGGGGATGTCTCTGAATATTGGGGCTGAGCTTGTGAACGTGGGTACCCACTGAGTAGAATTGGTGATCGAGGGAGTTGATGGGGCCGTGTGGTTAGTGGGGCAGTCGTGTGATGATGGGGGCTGCTGTGGTTGGGCGAGCTGTTGGGTTGAGAATTACAGGGCACATATTTATTTTGGGATGGTTATCCATGGCCAAGGGATGCTGTTGTGCTGTAATTGTTAGCTCACTGGACTTGCAATGAAGAGGTCAGCGATTTGACCTCCTGGCATGGCAGTTAAACAACGGCCAAGTTTGTTATATGCCCCCGCTGCCCGTCTCTGTCCACCAAACAATTATAAATGGGGAGTGCAGATCAGTGGGGTAAAGCCTGGATGCTCCCATCTCTTCCAAGACATCTGGCTATTGTGCCACGGTGGAGAGATGTTAACTAGCTCGCCTGGTATACAGGAGGTCGTGGGTTCGATCCCGACCCTGACTGCCTGCTGTATATTTTGAGTTTGCGTGTCTCTCTACCCGTGGTCGCGTGGAATTTTCTCCAGGTCCTCTGGTTTGTCTCTCCACATTTAGAATCAACATCACGCGTTTCGAGTGTTTGGCTGCTGTGCATTTCCACTTGATGATAAGCCACTTCATTGAGCTATCATTTGTGGTAAGGTCGCTTCTGAAAAATATCTATATAGCTCAGTGTGTCTTACCTGGTGTACAATTAAACATAGTTTAGTCTCGAGGACTAAAATACCATCTAGCAGAGCTTCAGATCACTCGATCGTGAACAAGTAATTCAGGGCTGAACTTCACCTTTAACCGATCTATGACCATTTGTGACGAGTCGATGGGTGGCAGGAAACCACCCACATCCAATGTGGTCAGATTTGGGTTTATATAATACATCGGATTTACATGACGCAGTTACAATTTTATTTGCTTAGATTGCACATACATTACAAAGAAAATCATAGCTTCTAATATAAACACCGAATTAGCACGTAATATACAAAATATGTTTCAGATGTTTTATTACAATAAAACCTTGAAATAATATGTTTCGGGCTACATGCCAAGTGGAATGTAAGATGCAGGGAATTTTAAATCAGGATTCATGGACTGTAATTGTCAGTGGGGATATTTTTAGGACTTCAAAAATGAGATGTTAGCTACGGGAAAATGCACAAAGTGGGAACAATATAATACGGTTTCATTGCGCTTAGAAAATTTCTATATCTTCTGTTGGCAAGTTAGGCAAAATATTGAAATGTAATGTATTGAAATGTGGTGAGTGTTTTTCACAGCTGTTTTTTTCCGTCGAATTGTGAGCATTTTGAGAAATAAAATGAAACTATTAATACACGCAAACCCACATCTAGGTTAGTGGCAATATTGTTGCACTTGTTAAATAAATATCATTCGATGCATCCAAGTGAGTTTCACAACAGCCCCACCCCCACAGTCCCGACCCCACCCCCAAACCCCACTCCCACCCCCCACACCCCCACACCCTTGACCCCCCATCCCCACCCAACACCCCCACCCAACACCCCCCACACCCTTAACCCCCCACCCAACACCCCACACCCCCTCCAACACCCCCCACCCCCACCCAACACCCCACCCCCACCCAACACTCCCCACCCCACACCCCCACCCTACACTCCCACCCTACACCCCCACCCTACACCCCCACCCTACACTCCCACCCTACACCCCCACCCTACACCCCTACCCTACACTCGTACCCTACACCCCCACCCCACACCCCCACCCCACACACCCCCACTCCACACCCCCCACACCCCCCACCAAAGACACCCCCACCCCCCCCATACCCCCACCCCACACACCCCCCACCCCTTGCACCCTACACACCCCCACCCCACACCCCCACCCCACACACCCCCCACCCCTCGCACCCTACACACCCCCACCCCACACCCCCACCCCACACTCCCCACCCCACACACCCCCCACCCCTTGCACCCTACACACCCCCACCCCACACCCCCACCCCACACCCCCACCCCACACTCCCCACCCCACACACCCCCCACGCCTCGCACCCTACACACCCCCACCCCACACCCCCACCCCACACACCCCCCACCCCTCGCACCCTACACACCCCCACCCCACACCCCAACCCCACACCCCCACCCCACACTCCCCACCCCACACACCCCCCACCCCTCGCACCCTACACACCCCCACCCCACACCCCCACCCCATACTCCCCACCCCACACTCCCCACCCCACACACCCCCCACCCCTCGCACCCTACACACCCCCACCCCACACACCCCCCACCCCTCGCACCCTACACACCCCCACCCCACACCCCCACCCCACACTCCCCACCCCACACCCCCACCCCACACCCCCCACCCCTCGCACCCTACACACCCCCACCCCACACCCCCACCCCACACTCCCCACCCCACACACCCCCCACCCCTCGCACCCTACACACCCCCACCCCACACCCCCACCACACACTCCCCACCCCACACCCCCCACCCCTCGCACCCTACACACCCCCACCCCACACCACCCCACCCCACACTCCCCACCCCACACTCCCCACCCCACACACCCCCCACCCCTCGCACCCTACACACCTCCACCCCACACCCCCACCCCACACCCCCACCCACACTCCCCACCCCACACACCCCCCACCCCTCGCACCCTACACACCCCCACCCCACACCCCCACCCCACACTCCCCACCCCACACCCCCACCCCACACCCCCCACCCCTCGCACCCTACACACCCCACCCCACACCCACCCCAACACCCCACCACCATCGCACGCCTAGCACACCCACCCCTACTCCCACAGCCCCACCGCCACACTCCCCACCCCACACACCCCCACCGCTCGCACCCCTACAACACCCCACCACCCACACAACCCCCACCCCACACTCCCCACTCAACACGCCCCCACCCCTCGCACCCTACACACAGCCCCCACCCCACACTCCCACTCCCACACCCCCCCACCCCTCGCACACCTACACAACCCCCACCCACACCCCCAACCCCACACCCCCACCCCACACCCCCACCCCAGTCAACCCCCCCCCACACCCCCACCACCACGACACCCCCCGACCCCTCGCACCCTACACAACCCCCCACCCCACAACCCCACCCGCACAGCCACCACCCCACACCCCCACCCCACACCCCCACCCCCACACACCCCCACCCCTCGCACCCTACACACCCCACCCACACCACCACCCCACACCCCCACCCCCACTCCCACCCCACACACCCCCCACCCCTTGCACCCTACACACCCCCACCCCACACCCCCACCCCACACTCCCAACCCCACACTCCCCACCCCACACACCCCCCACGCCTCGCACCCTACACACCCCCACCCCACACCCCCACCCCACACACCCCCCACCCCTCGCACCCTACACACCCCCACCCCACACCCCAACCCCACACCCCCACCCCACACTCCCCACCCCACACACCCCCCACCCCTCGCACCCTACACACCCCCACCCCACACACCCCCCACACCTCGCACCCTACACACCCCCACCCCACACCCCCACCCCACACTCCCCACCCCACACCCCCACCCCACACCCCCCACCCCTCGCACCCTACACACCCCCACCCCACACCCCCACCCCACACTCCCCACCCCACACACCCCCCACCCCTCGCACCCTACACACCCCCACCCACACCCCCACCACACACTCCCCACCCCACACCCACCACCCCTCGCACCCTACACACCCCCACCCCACACCCCCACCCCACACTCCCCACCCCACACTCCCCACCCCACACACCCCCCACCCCTCGCACCCTACACACCCCCACCCCACACCCCCACCCCACACCCCCACCCACACTCCCCACCCCACACACCCCCCACCCCTCGCACCCTACACACCCCCACCCCACACCCCCACCCCACACTCCCCACCCCACACCCCCACCCCCACACCCCCCACCCCTCGCACCCTACACACCCCCACCCCACACCCCCACCCCACACTCCCCACCCCACACACCCCCCACCCCTCGCACCCTACACACCCCCACCCCACACCCCCACCCCACACTCCCCACCCCACACCCCCACCCCACACCCCCCACCCCTCGCACCCTACACACCCCCACCCCCACACTCCCCACCCCACACACCCCCACCCCTCGCACCCTACACACCCCCACCCCACACCCCCACCCCACACCCCCACCCCACATCCCCACCCCACACCCCCACCCCACACCCCCACCCCACACCCCCCACCCCACACACCCCCCACCCCTCGCACCCTACACACCCCCACCCCACACCCCCACCCCACATCCCCACCCCACACCCCCACCCCACACCCCCACCCCACACCCCCCCACCCCACACACCCCCCTCCCCTCGCACCCTACAACACCCCCACCCCACACCCCCACCCCACACTCCCCACCCCACACACCCCCCACCCCTCGCACCCTACACACCCCCACCCCACACACCCCCCACCCCTTGCACCCCACACACCCCCACCCCACACCCCCACCCCACACCCCCACCCCACACCCCCACCCCACACACCCCCCACCCCTCGCACCCTACAGCCGTCACCTTCGGTGCTGCCACTCTGCACGGTGACATCCCGCGAGCTCCAGGCGTCATCAATCCACTTCCACCGCCACCCCCCACACCCTGGGAGCCCCGCCCCTATAAACCAGTGATTAATAACAAACAGACAGACACGTAAACTATATATATACACACACACAGCAGGCGCGTTCTCATGCCACAACGATCACAATCCGAAAGGGACAAACTCATATTCGAGACTGGAGGCAAACGAAGCGACGACAATGTTTGCCGCTCTGTTGGTGTTCGCGATTCTGACGACGTCTCGGGCTTTTGGTAAGCGGTAATTAGTAAGCGCGTGCCTAGTTTAATTTTCGATTTAAAGCTTTTTGTGACTGCAGGGATTCATATTCTTGGTTCTTTCGGTAAAGTCACGTAGAAGGGAAGTAATAAAATAATAAAAATAAAACATAATAAAATAATTCTCACGACGTTTCGGCCTGAGGACGGCTGCTTGCGTTGTGGCCGAAACGTCGTGAGAATTATTTTATTATGTTTTATTTTAATTATTTTATTACTTCCCTTCTATGTGGCTTTACCGAAAGAACCAAGAAGACGCGTGCCTGTTTGTTGACTGTGCTTTGTAAACGAAAAACTATTTAAGTTTGACTTTCTGTAAATGAAGGAAATTCAGGAGCCTGAATGGTAATAAAAATAAAAGTGGTGCACATTTTAATGGGCATAACATTGCATTTGGATGCCGTTACAATGCATCCAATTAATCTGCGGGTCAAATGCAAAAGGTTCAAAGCATTTTCATTGGGCCCTGGTATTCATCTCACTTTTCATTTAACCTCATTTGACACGAGTCGTGACATAATGTTTTTTTATCAACACTTTAAGTGTTGATGCTGAAATGAAATTTAACTCGCAGAGTGAAATAAAACTGTTTGTAGAGCGACGAGAGCAAGAGAATCAGGGCAACTGGAGATTGTGTACCGCACTCGACTATTGTGTTTGACATTTCCCCCCTATAATCTCAGCGATGCTGTCCGTGGTGCCATGGTTATCACGCTGCAAATGCAATGCAGCGGTCGCCAGCTCGATCAATCTCCTGGCGCGGCAAACTGAATTTGTGGCGGAAATTTTTGAAATCCCCCCTGCCGCTCTCTACCCAAGCCAGTTTAACTGAGTAGACCACATGTGGCGTGCCGTGGGAAATCATGTGGGTACTCCAACCTCATCCAAGATGTTTGGCCAGCTTGAGAGAGGAGGCCCAATATGCTCTGGAGAGGCCCTCCACAGCTTCCCTCTCGCTGATGCCCCTCTGCCATCAGTGGCGTGGGCATGTACGTTGAACTTCTTTCGCATCGTACACGCTAATCGGAGGCGCAGGTGAAGGACAACAAACTAAAGACAAAAAGCATTTCTAAAGAAATTCGTTTTCAAACTAGAACTCGAAAGGTCACAGCTCCAGTGGCTTCCTGATTTCGGACGGTGAGAACGTTCCAGACGGCCGCAGAAAAGCGCTCCTGAAAGCGCCGCGTGACGCGGGGTCACCGCCTCCGTTCGACGGCCGGACAAAATAAATCCGCTGCGAGCAATCGCAGCGGGCTGCACCTTAACCGTTCTCTATTTTTGTTAACCCCCCGCCCGCCCTCTCCACTCCACACCTGTAACCTGCCCACCCGAGACGACCGAGTGCTGTACGCGGACCTGGACCCGTGCACCTCGTACATCAGCCTCAGCGAGGAGTGGCGCAACACCGAGTTCGCCATCAACGGCAGCAACGGCAAGCCGGCGTGCGACCGGGACATGGCGGGCGAGTGGTACCGCTTCACCGGGCTGGCGGGCGACGTGATGCCCACGTTCTGCGTCGACGAGAACCACTGCGGCACGCACGCGCCCGTCTGGCTCAACGGCACGCACCCGCGCCTTCTGGACGGCGTCGTGAGCTTGCCCGCCTGCGCCGCCTTCCGCGACAACTGCTGCATGTGGCAGTCGACGGTGGACGTGAAGGCGTGCTCCGGTGGCTACTACGTGTACCGCCTGCCGCGCCCTCCCGTGTGCTACCACGTCTACTGCGGACGTAAGTTGCCCCCCTGGGCAGGCTTCGCGCGGGGCGAATTGGTGCGGCGACCGGTGGCACGCGCGCGCGTGTGTGTGTGTGTGCGTGCGGTGACTCGCGGGGGGGAATGTTTCACCCTCTTACTTTGCTCTCAGTGTTGTTTACTGCGTGTTGTCCGACGGTGGCTAGGAGATGTTAACTACCTCGCCTGGTGTGCAGGAGGTTGTGGGTTCGATGCCGACCCTGACGCGTGCTGGATATTTGAAGTTTGCGTGTTTCTCTCTCTCTCTCATGCTCCACTTTGCTGGGAGCTTTGTAGTGCTACTGAATTGTAGTAATGCACTTCGGTTCCCGAAGAAGATTCCAGCAGCATGAGAAGCGAAAGGTCGGACATCGCGCCGAACAACAGGCAGAAGGAGCCCAAAGCGCATCAGGGTCATGCCAATGCAACACGGCAGCTCCATCGACTGTGACTGGTGCACGGTTAAACAGGGATGTATATTGTGAGACTACGCAGCGAGGCTCAGCCGTGGAATGAAACATAATACGATGATTGATGATGCATTCTGATCTAAAATCCACATTTGTAATGCCAGTGGTAAGTCGTCTGACGTTCGTAAAGCTGCAATTCCAAAATAGTTATCTCAATTACCCAATTTGCACTACATGAACACAGCGTCACCTTAAACTCAGGCTAAATAAATGTTTTGCAAAGTGTTAGCTTTTTCATTATTATGATTCATAGTTTAAAGAGACCATTGCACACAAGAACTCCGCAGCACAAGACCACAACAAATATACCGCATCTGTCTTCCACAGAGGAGATGAACAGGCAGTTTTGCACAATAATATTGGCTCGTAAGTTTAAATTATTTGTAATTACCACATACCTCGTAAATGTATTGGGTTTCGTAACAAAAACTGCCCTAACTTTCTAAGCAGAGGGACAGAAAACATTTGACAAGGCGATTGGCACGTCATCGCGTGAAATAAATCCTGCAATTTTCGATTTAAAGATTTCGTGACTGCAGAGATTCATCTTCTTGGTTCTTTCGGTAAAGTCGGCTACTTGCGTTGTGGCCGAAACGTCGTGAGAATTATTTTATTATGTTTTATTATTATTACTTTATTATTTCCATTCTACGTGACTTTACCGAAAGAACCAAGAAGATAAATCCTGCAATTTCTCAGTCTTTAGTTTTATGATGCCGACCGAAGGCTGCGTGCATCTACGCATTTGATGCAGCACAGACTGAAGCTAATCTTAGCATGTTCGTAAATAAATAACGATATAAACAATGGTCTGTGTCAACACGTAAAAGTAACGTCACATTTTATTCACCGCCAGACCACGATCATGCCAGACCGCTGTAAACTACCGGCATTTGTTTTACGTGAGACAACCCTGAACCGCTTTTAGCTTTCTTGTTCTCATCGGCAGTGTGGCCTGTTAACGAAATTCTCTTTGGCTGCCTGAGGTTATCGGCAAGAGCTGTCCAGGAAGACCACACAACCCAACACGTAGTCAGTTCAGCGGTTACAAGATGTTCGGAATGAAAGCCACGACTAAAATGCCGTTCTATCCTTACTTCTTGGCACAGACCATTATCTCTTTATTTGCGATCATCATATTAGCCGCAATCCACAATGACAGCACCTCCGAGAGGGTGATCAATTTATAGCTACCCTCCTGTTTTCTCATGATCCTCTTTCTTCTCAACGGGCGACTTAATATTGCGAAAGCGATCGCCTCCTCCGTGTCCTATGCTACAGAGGAGAGTGCTAAACGATTTGCCAAGTCCAATGAGCTTCGTGGGAGAGACGTGGCAGAGGCTTTGAGAAATAAAAAATCGTAGTTTTTCTCCGTAATCTCTCTCTCATTACTTTCGCCGGGGTATCCATAAACGGGTCACCCTGTACATTCTGTACAAATTAGCTCGTTGGTGGACAGATGCGCCGTGGTCGACTGAGTGCAATGCCCTTCGCTGCTCTCCCCACAGACTTCTACGAGCCGTGCGAGAGAGAGAGCTCCTCCTGCCAGGGGGAAGACTGCGCCCAACCTCCCAGCTGCCGCTGCGGCCATGGCATGCTGCTTGCAGAGGACGGCAACACCTGCATGGGTGTGTGGTGTGGCGTGTGTGGTGTATGTGTGTGTGTGATGTGGCGTGTGGTGTGTGTAGTGTGTGTGTGGTGTGTGTATTGTGTGTGGTGTGTGTGTAGTGTGGTGTGTGTAGTGCGTGTGTGTGTGGTGTGTAGTGTGGTGTGTGTGGTGTGGTGTGTCGTGTGGTGTGTGTGTAGTGTGTGTGGTATGTGTAGTGTGTGTGGTGTCACCTAATGGTGAGTGGTATTGTGACGGTTAGCGCTACGCTGCGCTACGAACTCGGCGAACCAAGTTCGATTCCCGTTCACGGCAAACACCAGTGACGGTTATCTGAAGCCGTCTTGGAGCTCCTCAAGGTCGACTCAGCCCCAAATGAGTACCTGGTGCGATGTGTAAACATCAGCACTGCAAAGTCAAAGGCGTGGTGCTGGCCACCCACTAACATCGTGTGTCGTTGCGATCTTCATCGGTGCTCGCTCAAAGCACTTGCCCCAAAAGTCTATTCAGGCTACACGGGGGATGTTTTCGTTGTTGTTGTTGTTGTCTTCGGTGTCACCTGAAGATGACGGTGCGCTTGGTACCGAGCCCGTCCACTTTTGGCACGGCTCTCTCGTGCGAAGGAGAGAAGGTGGAGCGAGAGCTGCGTCGTTGTGTCCACCGCTGTGGTCTGCTCCGTGGCCTTGAGTCCGTTGTGACAATTCCCCGCGGGACTAGAGACTCTTCCCCTCCCACACGCTGTTGTGGCCGTCGGGGTTAGTGTGACCGGACTTCGCTCTGCCGGTCGGTGCGCATTGATGAAGCCGGGGAGCAGCAAATTGAAATTCTCGTAGCCACGGTTTACTTGTTTTTTTTTCTGCACTGCCCTCTGCTGCCCGGACCTGTTGTGCTTCGGTGATCGATCCACCCAACGCGCCACGCGGGCTCGATTCCTGAGATTTGATGAGATCGGGCGCATTTCCCGGGTGACATTAGTTGCGGGCGGTCGCCATTGGCAGGCACTGAATGATTGAGCGATTAAGATAGATGGCTTGCGCTCAAGATTCGTACTTATGTGGGTGAGTTCTACAACAGGTTTGTTGTTCTAGGCTGTGAGGCGGGGTTGTGGGAAGCAGAGATGGGCAGCGCGTAAAAGCGAACGGTCGTTACTGCACTTTATGTGCTGCCACTTCTAAACAAAATAAAATATGATTGTGCTCAAGATGCATGCATCGAAGTGGGTAAGGAATCGGCTATTGCTAATTTATCCAAAGCGTTCACGAACGTTACGAAGAATTGTTTTATGTGTGTATATATATATTTGTTTTCATTTCAACGGCGCAAACGAGAGACGAGACCACGTAAGCGGGGACGAGAGGGACGGTGGTCACGAAGGAGACGTTCAAAAAAACCGTGGCGATACGCGGCGACGTTTGAAACTCAATTTCGTCAAATCGCTTGGGTTGCTTTCGCCTTGGAGAGCAACCCTCGACAAGAAAGGTGGCGGCTTTGCCGGATTGATGATTTGATTCCTCCAGCTGTGCTGTATTCTTCCCCGGTTAGAATTACCAAAGCATCCCATCTGCTGTCAAGCTGAAATTAATGGCAGCCTGTAACACGCTGGTGTGCTTATTTTGATTGGTAGACATAGCACGCTCGGGCTGGTTTTATATCTATATGGTGTTTATATAAAACAATCACAAGTGATTTTGTTCGTGTGATTTCAATCTGAAGTCGTATAAACCAGTTGTTAGTAAGAAATCAAGTTAATGCGTTCATTTAACTGGCTACTCGGACTCCAGTGGGTCCAGGCAACTGGGATTTCGAGCCTATGCGCTACAATATTCTGTTAAAAGTGTTTGCGAGTGTTTTTAACGAGCGTTTTTTTTAATACTTGCAGCGTGTTGACTGTAAACGAGACGCGGCAGACAGAATCACCCAACACGAAGTGGTTTTCGTAAACAGCCTCGCCAATCGTTTTCGATGTTATTCCAACTTATCCGGGAAATATCTCGAGTTTCCGCAGTAATTCCAATTGGGGCAATTCTCAAGTCAATTTTCAACGCTGGGACGTTTGGTCAACGAAGCTAGGCACGCTGTTTGTTTTGTTTCAGCTGTGGCAGGTGAAATTGAGAATTCGGAGGAAACCCCACGCATAGCAGGGGAGTGGGGGTAGGATAAAACACGGTACAATCCCCGCACAGATAGTCGCCCATGATGGGAATCGAACCCAGGGCCTGCTGGAATTCTGGCTGCAAGTTTTATCGTTGCGACAATGCATCACCCTGCCGCACACATTGTTTCGCGTGATTTGTACCGTTGAATATCTCGGTATCATTGAGGTTCGTGGAATATATATATATTTATTTTTAAGTCTCTTGTCGTCGCAATAAAGCAGATGTAACATATTGTAACCCGCGATGGCAATGATAACACCGCAGTGGAAGTCTAGAGGGATGTTTTAAATCAAGTAACTATCAACTGGAGACCACCTGGAAAGCCAGGCTCTCGACGGTACAAACAGCTGCTAGGAGCCAGGAGTGCACTCCCTCCAATAAATAGTCTCCGTGCCGCAGCTTCAAGAGATGATATAGCGTTTACAGCTGTTCGTATCCTGAAACTACAAAAGAAAGCAGATCGGTCGCGTGATATTACCTCTTTAAAGTCTCACGGGTTAACCCCCCCCCCCCCCACCAGCTCAGAGTCTTAAAATCGATGCTGTATGATTATCAGTGTCGCAATCCTATTAAGCGTTGCAAGAGATTCTCAATGGATCATGCTCGTCACCGTTACCCCCAACGCAGGCTTATCTGGCATCCCGTTCCACAATTGGTGTGGTCATGACATCTGCACCAGCAGTAATGACATCACACCTGGCCACGGCAGCTTTGGTGGAGTGCACGTGAAAGTGATCTTCTCCAGAGGCCAGCTGCGCTGCAAGGGAAGAGATGCAACGACGCTAATAAGATGTCCGTGTCTTAAGAGCCGATGGATTGCGTGTGCATGTGGGGGGGAAGGGGTGGGGCAATGTCGCCGTTGCGCTCCGTGAAACGGGCTCGGACGGCTCGGCGCGTGCGGTGGCACAAAAAGAAAACTTCAGTGTCACGGAGTCCGCGGCGATCATTCGACAGCGCCTTGGGTCTATCTGTGTGTGCCCGGCAAGGGAGGCGTTTGGCTCAGGCGCGCGTAGGTTTTCGCGGTTGTGCCGTTATGGCTCTCTCAGATTGTATTTATTTTACATTTTCGTGTTGTGCGACCGCGTGTTTTGTTTCGGGCGCAATGGTTTATCCCACTATCGATCCCCTCCACGTTTCGCTCCGTGCGCTGATCAATTCCATTCCCCGAGGAAGCTTCTCGGGCACGTGGGAGCCGAGCAAAACGTCGGAGATCACGCCGAACGACACGCGGGTCAAACCTGAAAAACAATACACGAAGAGAGCTCAAGGCAGGCGGAAAGCAAGACCACTGACTTCCAAGCACAGCATGCCTTGTCGGGAGCGGAGCGGTGGCACAGTGGGTTCATGTCCTGCGTGTCATGAAACCTGGTGACCTGCGTTTGATTCCTGGCCACGGAAAACATCAGCGGCGGTGGCTGATAGTCTGAAACCGGTGCCGGGGCATCAAACTGTACACTGACCAGCGCAGTGAAGTATGCTCAAGACAAACACCCTGACCGACACAGCGCAGGAGAGGGGGAGGGTGGGGGTGGGGGACCTTCATCCAGCAGTCAATTGTCAAAGGGCTGAGTAAACGTAATCCTGCCACGCAAGTGGCCAATTATTGGCAACGCAGGAGACGTCGTGTCGAGAGAGGGAGGGGAATCCATTGCGCTCAGCCACCCCTCGTGATAGCTTGAGGCCGAGGGCCATTTCATGTTCGCCGCGTGTTCGTCGCGACTGCGTTGTCGTAAGGAACGCGAAAAACAGATTCCCACCAACCCCCCTCCTCCCTCTCTGCTCTTGATTATGTTTTTAGAAGAGAGAACACCCAAAAAAAAAATCACAAATCTATGCAAGAGCGAAGCTGTGCTTGGGAGCCACGGCGAGGGGGTTGCGGTCTTGTTGGGGGGGTATGGGGGGGGGTGCACGCGCACGTACCGTGGCGCGTTACGTGCGCTCACTTGTGATGTATCACTAAAACGGCTTATGGCATGCTGCAGCTCGGAGGGGAATAAATAAACCATGACAGTGCAATACTCAATATATATATGAAAGTGCAAAGAAAGCAATTGGGTCAATATCTGCAGCGTGTGTGGGCGGGGAATAAATCCGCACGAGCCCCCCTCCTCCTCCTCCCCCTTTGTTTTGCTTGCCCTCCCCCCCACCTCCATCACTACCACCAGAAGTAAAACCGCGGGTCTCATAAATATTACAGGGCGGCGGGTGGCGTTTTGCGTGAAATGCATTCGACTCTGCCCTTGCCTTGCGACTGTACGCGCGTTTCTTTTGGCAGACGTGAACGAGTGCGAGGAGGCGAACGGAGGCTGCGCCGAGGTGTGCGTCAATCTGCGCGCCTCCTTCAGATGCGAGTGCCCCGTGGGTCAGGTGCTGTCCCCTGACGGCCACTCCTGTCTGGGTGAGGGACAGAGGGCCGTGGGCCGCACCGGCGGGATCCCACGGCACGTCTCGCGCGAGCTCCCGGAGATGCGGGCAGAACGTACGGAGTGGTATAATTTAAATTAAATAATACATGACTTAATTAAGGCGTACCAGTCACGTCCTCGCGTGACCCAGTTTCTTTTTTTTTTTAAAGTGCGCATTGCGCAAAAAAAAAAATCTTCTTCTTCTCGGGGTTTTGTTGGCAGGGAGTGCCGCTGCTGCTGCCGTTTGCCGGATTCCACACTGGTGCACCCTCTCGTCCTTTTCTTGAATTGGCAGGATGTACTACTGCAAACGTGGGCTTGTCTAGATACAACGGGGTTTGCATTTCAAGCGCTTGCTGCCAAACACAATCAGCCAACGTGCTAACAACACCCCCCACCCACCTCCCCCCTTCTCTCTCTCTCATCGCAATCTACACTGGTGCAGTCTCTCGTCCTTTTTTTTTTAATCGGCAATATGTACCGCAAACGTGGGACTCCGTCTCGATACAACGGGATTGTCACTTACTGCCACCACTCCACGCCTAACACGATCTGTTACAATGACGCTGGCCTTTAAGCCCTTCAACCGAGTGGCGAATTCAAACTGAACGCCACAAATCCCCACTGTTGGCAATGCGGTCAAAATCTTTGATCCCGCAGTTGTGCAACTTGTATTAATGACAAATACAAATGCCACCCACAAAAAACTTGCGTATATGAAAACTCTTCGTAAATGTAACGTATCGCTCGAATCGAACGTTTCCATCCATAAACATCGCACCGTTTAATTTAAAACGTATAAATAATTAATTCCGCTGCACCTTTCACATTTTTAATTCGTGTATACTTTTTAAAGATGTGTTATTTAATATCTGCTGCATGCGAGCTGGCAATTACTTTTCACGTGTGAGTAACTTCACCAACTTTATTTTCCACGTGGAATTCACGCTCCAGTATCTCTTGCTTCTTTTTTGCCCAAGACAAGAACCATAACACAAACCATCCACCTCCTAAATGGTGTGACCTTAATCGGAATCCAAGGCAGCGTTTGTAAAAACTGGTAAATTGATTTTGTCCACGACTTCTGCATTGCTGCCAACACACCGGGTCCTGAATTTTTATTTGAACTACAAATTATTGGGTTGCTTCCTTTGGAGGTACAGATAAAGTAACAATAATAATTCACAATACCACGTGAGTGGAACACTACACGTAAACGTATCATCTTTCGTTGCGCATTTTTATTAATGTATTATCATCATCATCATTATTACGACGCAAGCGAGAAAAGCCATCACCTTTAATGGGTCGGCAACGAGATACCAGCAAGGATCTCCTACCGGCAACGATCTCCCAGGACTGGGGGGGGGGGGGGGGGGGGGGGTACCAGAGCGGGTGGCATCCCACTGCAAACAGATCAACGGTTACACCATTGGAACCTCATTTGCCAGTAAAAAATATGATAATTGTTTTTTTACCCTTCTATCTGGCAACAAAACTGACACCTTTTTTTTTTAATAAGGAGTCATGTTTGCATAGACCAAAATAGCTGCAGCCATAATGCAAACAAAAAACATAACTCTAATAATATATGCACTGTCCTTGAAGTTGATTGGTCCACATCCGAGACAGCTTTCCTAAGGAAAGCTTTCCTAAGGAACAGTGCATATATTATCAGAGTTATGTTTTTTGTTTGCATTATGGCTGCAGGTATTGTGGTCTATGCAAACATGACTCCTTATAAAAAAAAGGTGTCAGTTTTGTTGCCATATAGAAGGGTAAAAAACCAATGATCAGATCAACGTTGTTTGCCAGTGACGTCTCGCTTTGTTTTATTTTCCCTCTCAGAAATGACCCTGTGCGAGACGAACAACGGAGGCTGCAGCCACCTGTGCGTGGCCGCCGAGAGCTCCCACCGCTGCGAATGCCCCCGTGGGCTCCTTCTGGCCGAAGACAACCGCACCTGCCAGGGTAGGAGCCGTGGCGGTGACGGCGGTGGTGGCGGTGGTGGTGGTGGCGGTGGTGGTGGTGGTGGCGGTGGTGGCGGTGGTGGCGGTGGTGGTGGTGGTGGCGGTGGTGGTGGTGGCGGTGGTGGTGGCGATGGTGGCGGTGGTGGAGGTGGCGGTGGTGGCGGTGGTGTGGTGGCGGTGGCGGCGGTGGCGGTGGTAGCGGTGGTGGCGGTGGCGGTGGTGGCGGTGGCGGTGGTGGCGGTGGTGGCGGTGGTGGCGGTGGTGGTGGCAGTGGCGGTGGTGGTGGCGGTGGCGGTGGTGGCGGTGGTGGCGGTGGTGGCGGTGGCGGTGGTGGCGGTAGCGGTGGTGGAGGTGGCGGCGGTGGCGGTAGTGGAGGTGGCGGTGGCGGCGGTGGCGGTGGCGGCGGTGGCGGTGGTGGCGGTGGCGGTGGCGGTGGTGGCGGTGGTGGCGGTGGTGGAGGTGGTGGCGGTGACGCTGGCCGGCTCACCGCCCGCCCGGCCGTGGGCCACCGACGCGAAATCGTGGGTGCCACCAGGTGGTGACCAGCTCGGTGACCCTGGCGCATTCGTGACAAAAGAGCTGCGTGTCCAAATATCGGCTCGAATTGAATGCCCCCTAATGGACACGCGAGATAGTAATTCACGTTCGAAGACAATCAACGTGAGAGGCGATTCGTCTCCTTCTTATCCCCATTTGTTTCTGCAACTCTGTCTTTCCCCGCATCTCTCTTCGTCTCATCTCACCGCATCTCCATTTCGCTCTGCGTTTGTCTTTTCTCACGACATCCGCATCTGTTCCGTCATCTCGCTCGGATGTTAGGGAATTGAAGGGGGCGGCTCCCAAACATAATGTCCGCTTAGGGTCCCCCCCCCCCCCCGAACGTGCTGCCACTACCACTGGGTACGCGTGCTCCGACCTGCTAATGCGCGATTTGTCGACACTTTTGGAGACGTGAGATTGCTCCGTTTCTCGAGAAGCAGTTTGCACAAATGGGCCATTTGTATGAAGCCCAAAAAAAAAAATCCGCAACGAATGTTAGGGGTGGCAAAAAAAAAAAGATTATTAAATCGCTCTGGAAACGCACAGCGCTCTTCACTGTCTGGTCACAGTTTTGTTTTACCCTTTAAATTAGATTGAGCTGTAAAATATCAAGTTAATTGTCATATTAATAATTTAATAATCATGCTTCCACTTAATTATTTATCGTTTCGCACGCATTAGTGAAATCGCACTGCAAATTTTTATCACCCATTTCCAAACCCATTTTTACCAGATGGTGGTTCTCTTATTACACATTGCACGCACCCAATGCTGAACCAGGCCTTACATAATCGCCGCCATTCGTAGCACTGCCATGCGCTGTGACTCAGAAAACATTTTCGGAAGCCGGTCCTAAATGACTTCTGAAGGAAAGTCGAGATCCTTTGGGAGCAATTAAGCAATGTGTAAGTGCATTGATGATGTAAAATAATCGGAGCAGAGTAATTTAATACTTTAAACAACATAAATTATCATAAATTGCCGAATTTAGTTGGAACTTGAATTTTTAAATAGCATTTCTCCCCCTGCAAGTCATTACATGGGGCAGCGTTGGTAAACAGCGTGCGTCTGTGTAACATGAGCGGTGGCGCAGCGCTTAGAGCACTGCGCCACGAACCTTGACCAACCGAGTTCGATTCCCGCTCGCCGTCAACGGCACTGAGGAAAAACCCGGACTGGTCCCGCACATCCGAAGCCGACTCGGCCATAAAGGAGTACCTGGTGCAGCGCGTAAATATTGGCACCGGTGAGACAAAGGCGGCGGTTCTAACCACACCATGTCCCCGTTATCTACGCCGGTGTTTGCTAAAAAAAAAAAAAACTTGTCCCAGCAGCCTGTGCAGAATACCCGGGGGATATTTGTGTCTGGTGTCTGGTGTGTGTTGTGAAAACGTGTACGTATGTACGTGTGAGAAATGTCTTTTTTTGCAGTTCCCGTGAGATGCAGCCCCGACGCGATTGATGTGGCCGTGCCAAAGGACCAGGTGCGAGGACTGGAGCTCTTCCTGGCCAACGCCTCCTGCAAGGGCGTCTCCAACGGGACCCACGTCAACGTGCACTTTGGCCTCAAGACGTGCGGCACAACATTGGAGGTAACACCGCCTCGGATCGATAGCACCAACCCAGCCCGCGCACGGCGGTGGAAATGCTTCGCGAAAGATAACAACTCGCCGGGATCGTTTCCTCTGTGTCGCGGGGACGTTTCCGCATACAAATCGATGTTTCTTTTGGCAGGCATGGGATTGGTTGTTGAATTAACAGCGTTGAGGCTCTTATGACGGTTGTGTTTTTTGTGCGTGTGCGATGGAAGTTGCTATATTGTGTGCCGGCAAGAGCAAAAGCATTCCGTAACTTATCTCTGCAATGTGTACAAATGTGTGGCCTGGAAATGCGCACACACACACACACACCCACGGCAGGTCACAGCAGATAAGATTATTGCAAGCAATGTCCTGACGGGGCTTCCCAAGCAAGGTCCTGGAAGCAACGGCGATATGATCATCCGCACGAGCAAGCTTCTTATTCAGGCACGTATCAGGCCGAAGATCTCTTTACTTTTCCTTCGTTTACCTCCGCTTGTTTTCTTTCGGTTCATATAGAAACATGACCCGCACGGTCAACACATAAACACTTCCTCGTGCTGGCCTTGCTAACGCATACAGTATCTTTGGTTTCAGTCCAAAGATCCCATTAGAAGTAATGTGCAAGGAGAAATCAATGTAATATGGTTTATGTAGAGCCTGGCTCGGTGCCAGCTCAAGACATCGTGACATTGAGGCCAAGGCTGTACAGATTTCTACGAAGACATTGCACGTCGCAGCGCGTGAGAGCGTGCCCGCGTCGATATTACACGCGGCCGTGGTCAATCCGCTGCTGGATGAATTGCCTCCCCCAAAGCCGCCGCCACAACATTACAACCTTCCGATGCGATGATACAACCAGCAACTGCGCACGCAACGATTTTGTCGCTCCATCTCCTCAGTGGGCGTACTCGTGGGCGATTTCAATTCCTTGCCTGCAAATCTGTTATTGTCCATCATCCGTTTTAGGGACATGTCTTGCCGAAACCCACTTAGTAAAAGTCTATATATGAAGCTTATGGCGGTACTTCGGGGTACCATAGATAGTAGCACGGCTCTCGCAAAATGTCCGCGATGCAGTCATGTTTAGTCTGTTGATGGTCGGCGATGTGGCAATCGGCTCATCTCGACGAGCTGTACACGATGCACTATTCAAAGTTGAATTTTTCGATTTGATTTCGGATTGATTGCTACTGATTTCGGATTGATTGGTACCCCAGTCGCGGAGTTAAGTAACACCCCTGGAAGAAAATAGTGTCCCAGAAATAAAATATTTAATTGCCTCGTCCATTTTGTATTATTTGGTACCCCGGGGTGCAGCCATAAGGATTACATAATGTAAAAGAAAGACTGGAATAGCTCTTTGCTGATTTTACACAAGTGTAACATCGCAATGAAAGCAGTAAATCTGAATGACTTTCCAATTAATGAAAACTTCCACGAATCGATGAGGAAAAACAACTGCGGTGCAGTAAATCTTCATTAATCACATTATTCCACGGAACAATTGCCGAATTGATAAAAAATATATTTCGCGTCTTCCTCGTAAGCAGGAGGCCAGATGTATTACGTGTGGAGGGAGTCGTGCTCAATTTAAATGTACGCAGATAACCATGGTCGCGCACGTGCCGAGGTTTAAACAGCACTCTATTTGCGACGCGGAGGATTGTCGTATTTTGAAAGTGGCGGAGAATCCGTTTTCCTCTTCTTCATTTACGACTTTATTTGTACTTCTTTTTTTTTTGTTACGCCTTTTTTTTTATTTCGGTTACATTTTCCACTTTCATTTGGAGGAAAAGAAGCAACTGGCCAGCCCTTAGATGGGAGCAGTGGTGCACTCTTAATTTGGAGCTTTCGTGACTGCAGGAATTACTCTTTGGTTCTTTCGGTAAAGTCACGTATAAAGATAAAATAATAAATTAAATAATAGCATACTACGACGTTTCGATTGCAACACAAGCAATCATCATCAGGTATAAAAGAAATAGCAACAAAAATCTAACCAGAAAACTATAGACAGACATATAAGCAGACAGATATCACAAAGATACACAGAGAGAGAGAGAGCAACACATAGGCACACAGAGAGAGAACGTCTCTGTGACGAGGCCTTAAATAGAGACAGGGGGGCGGGGGCAGAGAGAGGGAGGGATCAGAGAAAAAATTAGCATGTCAATGAGTAGGACGACGCATGGTCGTCCTACTTGTGCACACCTATCATTTATCGTAGAGCTTGGATGAGTAGTCATATTAGTCGATTAATCAACCTGCCTCTCGAAGGTGGGAAACCCCTACAAGCCACGTCCATCCAGCGGCACACGTGGGCACATCAGGGAGACATTTTCTCCCCAACTATTATTTTGTTATCCGATAAGATGCGTAATTGAACCGATAATATAATCGATAGAGTGATCAATTACTGAGATAAACGGAGAACCCGGCTCTAATGTAATTATTTGAATGTGGAGTTGGTAAATAATGTGGCCACGAATCAATAACGTGCATGAGATACCCACCTTGTATAGCAATTGGGCAGCACAGCAAATGTTTCTGAAACGATAATTATGTAAATAAGTGATGTGCTTTTGCATGCGTTGCTCTTTCTATGGGCACTCCAGCTGTCGTGGTGTAACGGTGAGCACAGTTGACTTGCAATCCAGTTCTACCTGCCACAGGAGCAGTTGAACGTATGTGCAAGCGTCTGCTATTCCCCTATGAACGGTTACATCTCATTAAGTCCATCGGCTGGGGTTTGTCCGGTTGTTACAAAGTGTGAGTAATCCCACCTCCTCCCAGGGTGCCTGGCCAGTCTAAAAGAAGTGGCTGACGCCCTCCCCAGAGGTCTTGCATGGAGCTCCCTTCAGTGGAGGCCCTTCCTTCTGCCAGCGGTGGCACGAGCGGGCAATTGCAGGGCTGCACCTTCATCTTATTCATGGCCATGCTCCAGTTCCCAAACGCTTACAATATTGCATCTACCAAAAAAATGCAGAACCATGCCCCTCTCTCTCTCACTCTCTCGCAAGGCAAGTCGCAAAGCGAGCCGAGGCGGAGGAGGGCCTGATGGATGTGGCCCATTCTGACCTTAGGAGTGTCACGAGGTTCATGCGAGATCTATTCTCTGATCAAATTCAGCACTTTTGGTCTGTTGGGACCAGGAGGTGAAACCCGGAAAAAATTTAAAATATGGCATCTGCAATCAGCCGCCGGTCTTTTGGGGGTAAAGGCAACTGGTAGCAAAAGCTATAATAGATGCAAAGGCGGTGATTTGGTCTGCACACCGTTATTGTATGTTGGGTGGAACGTATGGGGAAATTGGGAGTATTTGATGGGCGATGTTCTCCGTGCTATTCCATTAGCATGGCTGGTGTGCCATGGTTCATCTCATCCAAAACAAGAGTCAGTAGAGATGATGTAAGTTATGGCCAGGCATGATTTCAAGATTTAGAAACAGAAAGTAGGGCAAAGTCAAGATTCTCAAATTTTATTTTTTTACTTTATACGCGGATTGCCTGGCCGAGTCTCAGGACCGGATTTATTTTTCAGGAGAATCTCGCTTTTGGCATTTGGCCACACTTTTATTTTTAACGATATACGGCGTGTGGGAGAACACCCAGAGTGGGATGATGAGAACACTCAGAGACTTCACGAAGGCCTTTTGATAACACCAAGAGAGTCTGCGTACTCCCTCCGTACCACGGGGTGAAATACACTTCAGCGTCATGCGGGGCGATTATTGCGGGCAAAGAAGCATGCGTGGCGCAAACGAGCGCGGGACAGACGCACAGCTTGGAATTACGTTGAGAAGCGACGAGGATAATGCGCGGAACACGCGCACATCAAGAGAGGCATCGTTAAAAACGCGCAGAAAAGTGGTTGGGTTTAGGCAGAACATGTCGTAGCTCAAAGGGGGGATGGTTACCAATGGGTCAAGAATGACGGCGGCGAGAGGGTGGCCCAACAGGGAGATGGAACCGTGAAATCAGCTCATGTACAGCGAGCTACGATGTGGATTATTATACACCGCAGGATCATGGGATATCGCGATGGCCTGGCGAGGACTTCATCCAGCGACGATAATAGCGAATGCCAGTCTTCGTCAACCCACACTCACCAGCCTGAAGAACGATCAAAAGGGTTTAGGAGGCCTTCATCCAGCAGCGGATCGATCACGCCTACTGCTGCCACCGCTGCCGACGTTGGATCTGCTTCACGTAAACGCTCTGCACCCCCCCCCCCCCCCCCCAGGTGTTCTGCGAGTTCCCCCGCCACGAGCTCCTCTCCCAGGGCTTCCTGCCCAAGCCGGGCAACCCCATCCCGAGGCTGTGGGGTCACAGCCAGGGCCACTTCCCCTTCGCCCTGCTGCTGTACCGCGAACCGAGCTTCGAGGCGCCCGTGGGGCCCGGCGAGATGCCCCTGGTCGTCAAGCTGCACCAGCCGCTCTACTTTGGCCTGGCGCCGACGACGCGTCTCGACGGACTCGAGGTGCTCGTGGAGCGCTGCTACGCGACGCCCGGGCAGAACGGCAACCACCTCGTCAAGTACTTCCTCATCCGAGACGGGTGATGAACTTGGCTGCGCTCACCACCAGCGGCCGTCTGGAACGCTCTTCTTGCGGATATTGGGAAGCCGCTGGAGCTGTGCGCTTTTAAATTTGGATTTTAAATTCTTTTCTTTAGAACTCCTTTTTGTGTTTAGTTCGTTGTCCTAATCCACCGTTTCTCCAATTAACACGGTTGGCTATGTACGCTGTGAAAGAAGTTCAACATACTGTCTCGGTTCTATATGCCGTACACATCAATTTTAATCATCCTGATAGTTTACCTATTGCACTCCGCACACAGATAGATGGCGTTCAAGCACTCAATTTAAATTGCAATCTTTTTTTCCTCTTGGAGATAGCTGGTTTGAACTTTGTTTTAAATAATTGCTTGGTCGGATGCTCGAATGAGTGCCCCAGACAGCATGAGAATCATTGACAAGATTTGAAGTAAAACAAACCCCTGGGATTCTTGTTCTTCATAGTTTGTGTTTTGTTAACTTGCGCATTCTTCGATATACGTAATTGTTTGTCGTTTCAGTGATAAGTTCAGAAATACCCAAGTCTGTGCTCTCCGATTGCCTGGGTGAAAAGTGGGCAATGCATTTGCCCAATCGTGGCCTAGCCGGCTCCAAATCGGATAAATAAACTACGTGGCGGCATTCGTGCAAATTTAATCTCAAAACGCACCACACAAACACCGTAACCCCCCTCCCCCGCCGCCCCAAACAAATTAACATCACAAGACAGGTACGAGACGAAGAGCACGAAGGCGAACGATGTGTGGACCACTTGGGGCAACACCAATCACTCGAGGACTCGAGCCCTAAACAATAATGAGGATGTCAACTTGCAAAGGCACCGCGCAGTGTTATTCGCTCACTCTCGTCCAGAGAAAAGAAGGTGCAAAGGAACCACAGACGAGCAGAAAGGCAGCCACGTAAACAGATCCCGAGAAACTAGGCGTGCGTTCACGATTTTAGAAATCTGAACAAAAAACTAAATTCTTGTGTGAATTTTTAAGGTTTGTTCAAACCATTTATTCGTTTCGGGGATTGATCTGCAAAATGTCACGTCAGGAACGAAGTGATGTCGCTCTCATGACATCGCGTTTCACACCTCTTGATTAGCACTGGTTGGCTACGTACGGTGCTAAAGAAGTTCAACAAACATACCGTACTTGCATACGTCCGCGTTTTTACCACCAGGTGGCGTCACGTGGCATCGGGTGGCCGAACTTTTGTTCGCACGAAATCACGTTACATTAATTACAAACTCGAAATGATCCGAAAGTGTGAAAATATTTTCAGGCTTGTCCTCAAATATCCCAAAAAAATCCTAAATCCTAAAATGTGGAATATAGAATTCGATTGCGAAATACGCAGATACACAGAGGTTTATTGAAACGCGATGAGTACGTCTTGAGACGTCTCTTTTTTTTTTAAAGGGAGACACCTTGCCCACAAAGCAACGCGTTAAATATTTGAACAGTTGAAATCACACATCGATTGCTCAAATCGAAATTAAGCATTCAGCAGTTGGGAATAAAGTATAATAAGTTTATACTTAATGAAGAAATAAATATTCTGGCTTTTATCCAGCTTTTAACATGGGTATGGTGTAAAGTAGAAAAGCGTATTCATAATGAGCATAAAATAAATACAATCCCCATGAACAAAAAATCAACTGGGAAGGAATGCTTTTTATACGTGAGAGGGATGCAGTGGTGTTCCACACGTGAAGAACATCGCAGGAAAAAATATAAAATATCACATTCCATACTTACTCTTGGGATATAATGTAATACATTTGAGGCACTAATTGTTCATTTAAAATTATCTTTCGTTTACTCAGAAAAAGCCTCAATTGAATGTGAAGTTGTAGTTTTGCACACGTGTCGAAATTTGCAGGAGAAGATGCAGAGAAATTGCACGCATACGCGGGAAATGACGAGCAAGAATGTTCTCAAAAGGTCAATTACCTACTTGCTGAACCATAATCTACTGGCACCTTGCTGTCTCTCTCAAATGGAGGTATCGTAAACATTATAATTTTAGTAATAGGTTTTTACCCTTTCAACTGGTACAAAAACTGACACCTTTATACAAGGCATCATGTTTGCAATAACCACAACACAAGCAGTCAAAATGCAAACAAAAATAAACAACTCTGATGATGATGATAATGATATGCACTGTCCTTGAAGTTGATTGGTCCACACCCGAGACAGCTTTTCTTAGAGCCTAGTCTCCATTGGTGTTGGACCAGATGACGCCAAAAGGCGTACGCTTTTTCATTATCATCAGAGTTGTTTATTTTTGTTTGCATTTTGACTGCTTGTGTTGTGGTTATTGCAAACATCATGCCTTGTATAAAGGTGTCAGTTTTTGTACCAGTTGAAAGGGTAAAAACCTATTACTATATTTTGCCACTGGTAAAGGAGGTCTCATAGCATTATCATTTGTATTATTAGTTCTTTACCGAAAGAACCGAGAATATGAATCCCTGCAGTCACGAAAGCTTTACATCAAAATTATAATTTGTGTGTGGTGCCCAAAACTTTCAACCGTACAGCTGGATTGGAGGTGGATACAACCACGCCTAAATAATATTTTCTAAGCTATGTTTCTGCCGTACCTTCTTTCAAGGTCAGCCATCATCCAAAATAAGTTTTCAGGAAGTGTTTGTGAATGCCACTTGGGACAACTCATTCTCAGTCTGCTCTTCAACAACGTTGGCAGTGCAGACTGGAATAATTATTTGATGTCGTTGTGGGTTTAATTTTTTTTACAAATGTGCCATCAAACAAGGCAGAGCATCTTTACTGAATGATCAGTACCGTGTAATTGATTAAAATGGAAAAGGGAGCATGTCATCCCTCCATTAATTTAAAAGTTTTCACATTCATTAGTCAGTCGCTGTCACCTGAAAGCCTTTAGCTGAGCTAAACTGAAGGTTGTTCATGTGAATGTCTTGTCAGATAGTATGGATGTATGTATGTTGCACTTTCTTTCACACTGTACGTACTCAACCGTGATGTTTGTCAGTGCGTTTAATATAATAATATCAGCATCACAAATATTGTTTTGGCCGATGACAATTTTAGATTTTGGCCAGGTCAGATTACTATTACTTATGCACTGAACGTGACGCATTATACATTGGATATATATTTGTTGCATATTCGAAATTTCGGAAATAGATGCAACGTTTTTTTTTTTGGTGGAAATTAATATTGGAGTTTTAGATTGGTTAGGAGGAATGAAAAAAGGTGTGTGCGTGTAGGCAAATAAAAAGGTAAATAAATAAACAAATACTCCCATTAAATGGATGGAGGGGGGGGGGGAAGAAAAGCAATATAATGCATGATTTTATCAGTTCCTTTAAAGGGGAAAAAATTAATTGCTTGTGAGCCAACGAATATAATCAGTGTGCAACACCACACACAGCGCTGCTCCGTGGTGTACGACTATAATTACCACACAACAGAGATTTCTAAATCCAGCCCAATCTGTTACTGGATCGGTAATTGTGGCCCATTGTTGAAGTTCAAATTGTCTCCTTGCTGTGTGGCTGTACAGGTGTCTCGTGGACAATACCATCCGACTCCTCCCTTCCAGTAACTTACTGAGCAAGCATTACCAGGTGCAAGTATTCAAATTCCTGGGCAAAGAGAACATGGTGAGTCTGGGTGGAGGGGGGGGGTCCCTCTACAATCACTACATCAGAATCGGAATCTTTTATTTAGAATCCGATGAGCCGTGAAGCTCTTCTTTTCCACAGACGTCCAGTTTGGGCGGGTGAGCAGGTCACAAAACAGCCAACGATACAACAACAGCAACACCAACAGGATAGGAGTGCAAAACTGAGAGAATGGCAAGCAAGTCACAAAATATAAGTAAACAATGCGTGATTTAGTGTTACAAGTTCAATTCATCACGCTTGGGCACGATAGCAAAGTCAACAACAAACCAGTCCCCGACCGCACCAAGATAACATCACACAGGAGTAGTCCCTCAATAATACGGCACGTGCAACTCTTGAAGCTCTCTCGTGTAATTATGAGCCAGCAAGAACGCACCTACCACACGTTCTATTTTAGCCATTCGCCAATATTTCAAGCCATATGTCATCCACACACACAACACACAACACGTTTCACTGATCTTCAAAAAAGCAAAGGGATTTCGTAACATAATTAGGATTTTTTTTCTTTATTCCTGCATGCCCATGTATTTCAGAGGCATTAAAAAAAAACACCGCACAATAAGAATCCTATTGGGATGTACGACGTCTCATTTTTGAAGGAGTCCTGCTGGCATTCGTAATGCAGCAATTATTGCAGTGAAGTCAATTAGTCATGGGTGGTACAGCTGTCACTGGGAGGGGAAACATAGTGAACTTGACAAATGCATTTTAATATAGTGTACATTTAAATAATTAATAATGACATAAATATAATTGAATAAAAACTTACATGACGGTGGAAACGCAGCAAGAAGCCACTGGGTTCGATCCTGACAAGGGAATCTTTCTTTAGTCAAGTTTGTATGTTCTGCCTGTGTTCTACACTGGATTTCATCTGCAGTCTTTGGTTTCCTCCCAATGCTTGATAAAATAAAACAAAAAACAAAACGTACAATACAACTGGTATTGGCCAAACATCCCAATGCGAAACAAAATAACTGCAAATTACTGAATTGGGATTACACGTAGCAATCACCGACTGTGACAACTTTTGAAAGAGTCTTGAGACTCGGTGAGCTTTTCCTGTGTAAACAACCATCACAACAATACGACAATTACAGCTATTGTGAATCCACCAATGAACGCCCCATCCATGCCATGTTGGTCATGGGGTGTTTTGTTTAGCCCCAGATGAGTGCCTGATGCGGTGTGTGGTAAACATTGCCACTGGGGAGGCGTTGCGCTGGCCACCCACCCCCTCACCTGCCGTGCCGGCCTTCATAGGTGCTGCTCGCTAACAGCACTTGCCCCAACAGTCTGTTCAGGGTACACGGGGGATCTTTGTCTATTTTTTTGTTTGACCATTCGGCACCACGCTGGGTCAGCGTGGGTTGGTGAAGGTGGTGGGGCTATGGGTTGAACCGGTTCTGATATCACTCACGACGGATGTTAGCCGTGGCCGAGAATAAAACTCGTGTCGCCGCGATTTCATCACGCAGCACGCTTCGCCAATTAACCACCGAACCCCCCCACCCACCCAGTGCGTGGTAGACTTTTAATAGCGACAAAAGAAATCAACCTCAGTGAAAAAAAGGATAAATCTCAGTAAAATGTGTTGTTGTTGTTGCTGTTGTCGTCTTAGTAAGAGAACACGAAAAATGTGAGCCAAATAAATGCGTTTCGTGCCGAAGCTTTGGCGATTTGATGTTGAACCGAAGTGAAACAGGTTGAAGGAACAAACACCACTGCTAAGAGACACTGTTGTATTAAATTGACCCGTGCTTATGCTCCCTGCGGTGCTTCTGCTGAGCGGCATCTCCCACTGCCTTTCAGCTGCCCCCCCCCCACATCACCCGCCTCGAGCTCCCTCCCTTCCCCCTTCCCTTCTTCGGGGGCGATGGAGGGGGAGGGTTGGTGGTTCACACGCATGCGTGAGCACGAGGGTTGCCACCTCTGCGGTACAAACATTGGGACGCGTGCTTTGTTCGTGCTGTCTCTCTCTCTCTCTCTCGTCTTGCGTGTTTATTTGTCTTTCATTTCCACGTTTTAGACTATGTTACAAACACGGCACTCATCTTCTTGGTTCTTTCGGTAAAGTCACGGAGAAGGAAAATAATAAAATAATAAAATAATTCTCACGACGTTTCGGCCACAACGCATATTTATGGGAAATGCTAAATTCCTCTTGATATGGAAATTATTTTGTCAAGGCGCTCTCCCCCCTCCATCCCGGCATAAATAGTCGCTCCAAGCCTGGAGCGTGCCATTCAGACTCTGCCTTCTCGATAGACCTGTTCTCCACCTGAAGACGGCTGCTTGCGTTGTGGCCGAAACGTCGTGAAAATTATTTAATTATGTTTTATTTTTATTATTTTATTATTTTCCTTCTACGTGACTTTACCGAAAGAACCAAGAAGATGAATCTCTGCAGTCACGAAAGCTTTAAATCGAAACACGGCACTGTTGCCAGAATATCTGGTTATCATTGGAGGAATGTGCCAATACCCTCTCGGGGAGGGGGGTGGGGAGCTCTCTCTCTCGTGGAGGCCCTTCTGCCGGCAGTGCTGTGAGGAAGCAATTTTAGCGCTGCGTCTTTACCCTCGAATGCAGTCTTCCACATAACGTGACCCTCATTCTCCCTTCGTGGTTCGGGTTGTCACGTCCGAGATGCAAAAACACCAGGAAATATCATGGGAACGGGGCTATCGAATATAATACTGGAAGAGGAGAACTACGATTAATGCATCGTTGGTATATTATTAATAAACCGACAAAACACTGGGATTTTTTTTTGCCGTCCTGAAGATATCAGATTTCCCACGACAGCCACCTCGAAACTAGGAGGGTAACAACATTGTCCTGCCCAATATTGTGCTAGGTCAGCCAATCAGTGTGAACTCAGACAATCTTATTTTTTATGCATATGCATCGAATTCATTTTTTTTGCTTGCCTTTTCTCAGCTCACTGCATTCTTCAATAACGTTTCAAAATTATCTTTGGCCTGCCCGCATCTTCATTTACACAACTCTGTCTCGTCGTAGTCGGTCACGCTCAGCTCTTTTGTGGGTCAGCAGTCAACGTCATCAATAACGCCCGAGATCTTTTTCAGCATCCACCCGTAGCGATCTTTGACTAAAAATGCCCCCCCCCGCCCCCCCCAAAACCCCCACTTGATTGACACGATTACTTCGTTTCTCGTTCGTTTCTCAGTCCCCTTGTCACTGGTGAGGGTCGCGGCGGCAGACAGATGAGCAGGGTGGTCCAGACCTCCTTTTCCCTGGCGCCACACTCCAGCTCTTCCTGGAGAATTCCCAGGCGTTCCCAGGCCAGCAGCTGAGCGACATCGTCCCTCCAGCGTGGGCCGGCCCCGGTTACTTCCTTGGCTAATTTTGCGAACGAGATCAACACTTGCGGCACACCCTCCCCCCCATCCCCACCGCCGCCTCCGCCGCCCCCCAAGGGAGCGAGCGAGCGATCGAGCGCACGAGCGCGCGGATGTGACATCTGCTGGGATGGCTGTGTGTTTGCAGGAGGTGTTCCTGCACTGCGAGGTGACCGTGTGCCAGGCGTTCGACTCCGCGTCGCGATGCTCCCAGGGCTGCATGCGCCGCGTGCGTCGCTCGGCGCAGGACGGTGGTGCCAGGCCCCGCCTCGCCGGGCCGCGGATCCCCGTGATCACCGGGGGGCCCATCATTATGCACTCATCGACGACGACCTAACTCCTTGGCTCGCCTGTTCATGGGCAGACCTCTCACTTGTTCATGGGCAGACCTCTCACTTGTTCATGGGCAGACCACTCATCGATGATGACCTAACTCCTTGGCTCGCCTGTTCATGGGCAGACCTTCAGTCCTGCGTCTCCGTATGCAAATACTATATACAGACCTATTGGCTTTCCAGACCGATCGTATCCAGCATAAATTTGTTTAAGCGAGCAAAGTCTAGACTAGTATTGACCTTCTGGGTCTCGTCAGCAGAGCTGTTCAGTGCCAAGTTGCCATTTTCTAAAGGTGGCCGTGAAGGCATCGATGCAGCCGGCCGCAGTAACAAGACCAACAAACTCCACGCGTTTGTCAATAGCACAGTGTATGTGGCCTTAAAATGAAAAATGAAAAAATACATTCAAACCATATGAAGAGAAAGGCCAGAGAGACAGGGTGGTCATACTTCAGAAAGATTACCTCTGGAATTACAAATGTGGAATCGAAATTCATCATAATTCGTCATCATCGAGTGTCTCATTCCATGTGCAACCTCTGAGACACGGTTTTTCTTAATCTGTTCTCTTTGGCCCCCCCCCACCCCCCGCAACTCGGACCTATTGAACCGTGACCATTTGTGGGTGACAATAGCCACTGCGCAGGTGTTCACTGGTGTGCCGTACGGGTCTCCGAGGAATTTTCCGGGTCGTACCGAGCGCTGTTCGTCACGATGTCCGACGTTTTTCTCCGCGTGCCGGGAGCTTCTCCGGGAAAGTGAATTCAGGAGAGCGAAGTATCGGCATCATGCGGCGAACAAGGCACGGTACGACCAGAGTCACGTGGTTATTTCTAGATTTGAAGCTTTCGTGACTGCAAGGATTCATACTCTTAGTTTTTTCGGTAAAGTCACGTAGGTAAAAAATAAAATTAAAATTAATACAAATAAAAAAATAAAAAATCACGACGTTTCGGAGGCAACACAAGACTCCGTCATCAGGTGGGACCATCACATCCACATCTTTGGACCACGTTATCTTTACAGGTGGCCACTGAGGCCTCTGTGCAGCAGTCACCTCTTCTCCAACCACTTATTATATAATAGCCGACCGAATTAACTTCCTTTTTTTTACACGTCTAATACATCGCCGGTATAACGCAGGATAAATGCGCGTGACGCTTGGTGAGAAGAAGTTTTTTCCTTAAATTTTTGCGTACGGTGACAATTCACAAAATGCCGCATTGTGATTTTTTTTCTTTGCTTCGAAAGCTTGTCCGTAAAAACCCCCGAATCATAAAAGTTGGACGCGCTTTTTGTGACCATGCTACCGACGTTGCTTTAATTTTTCATTTTTTTTTTATGTTTCATGGGTTGCGCATTTCGACAGTATTAGACAAAAAAAAGTGTAGCTCACAAAGTATTGAAACTTCAGATTACAAATATTTCATGCCGTTTGCTCTGAAGGAACATATTTTTATTTTATTCGGGAGGTGGTAATGAAATATTGTAGAAACTAAAAAAACATTTGACAAGTGCACTTGCAAGGTAGCTCACATCTTTAGTGAAATGCTTCCAGCCTGTATGGGTGTGCATAACGTGCTTTATTCCGTGCCAGGAATGTGTTATGCCAGCCAGTATTAACGAGATAGAAGAATCAAACCGCTAAGTAAGAGTGAATCTATCTGGAGAGACCAACGGGTTTCAACGTGGCCAATTGCACATGCATTGAGGCTAGATTCTTGGAAATGTCACGTATATTTTTTTCTAAAAAGATTTTCCATTATTGGTATTGATGTGTAGTAGATTAAAACCCTGCAATGTAGGTGAGGTTTAAGTTTCTAAGCGGTAATGTTAATGCACATTCATTAAAGTGCATACGTTAACGTCATTTAATATTATCACATTTAATCACTTTTATGCGTTTTTCTTTGCTCTGTTCTCTTTGCCACTGCACACAATTTCGAATGTGTTACTCTTCTCAGTTTCATATTGCGAATTTTTTTCATTTCATTTACATTTTTTGCTACGTACCGCATTTCATTCTTGCAATTTGGTGTGCCTTTTTAAATGAATAATCATTAATAATATTTCTGTCGTATTATCGGGAGCTTCAGAAACACGGGATACAATTCAACATATCTTAAATATTGAATCGCTTTGTAATTACAGCAAATGAACTACTGACAGTCCCATTTGTTTCCAAGGGATCACTTTTCTCAACATCGGTGCATTGAATTTGTCAGCACTGCGGAAGAAAATAAAAACACTTTCATCTTCCCACCAACAGTAACCACCACCACAACCAAGAACAATCAGAGCCCTGGTTACTTTCGGTTTTAAAGAACAAAAAACAACCCCTTCAGCTTGTTCATGTTGTGTTGCATTTGATTTGAAACGCGTTTAAGAACTGAACGTAGTAATGTAGAACAACTGAGGTTTTACGCAAATAAGAGAGAGGTGCAAATGATCACAGTGTGACGGCGCTTTGCACAGGCCCGGCTGGTATTGGGGAGGTTGGTGGGGATGGGACTGGAGAGGCTTCAGCCCCACCTCCCCTTCCTAATTCTTATAGACATTGGCATTCAGACATCCTGAATAAATTGCAATATGCAAGCATTCATACTCTTTGTTTTTTTCGGTAAAGTCATGTAGGTAAAAAATAAATGAACAAACAACTAAATTAAATCACGACGTTTCGGAGGCAACACAAGATTCCGTCAAGTGATACAGTAATTTTGCTGTGACGGTTCCACCTGAAGACGGAAGCTTGTGTTGCCTCCGAAACGTCGTGATTTAATTTAGTTGTTTTTTCATTTATTTTTGTACCTACGTGACTCTATCGAAAAAAACAAAGAGTATGAATCCGTGCAGTCACTAAAACTTCAAATCTAGAAGGAGAGAATAGTCAAGTCAAAAAACACGTCCACAATGTTTAACACCAGTGGCAGACTTTTTTTACTCTCTCTCTCCAACGTTTTCCAGTTTGACAAACACTCAATCATACATAATAATAATAATGCACCCGTGCACATCTGCTTCAATTGAGTGAATTGTCAGACACTTCAAGGCTCTCCAACCATAAGCGATGGGCACATTTCAGCATTTATTCATAAACACCTGGGCTGAGAGCTCAAGCGTGGAATGCACGACAGACGAAAGGAGACCATCGTATTGTTACTCCTTCTTCTGTTCGCCGTCTAACTGACCCGCTCACAGCGGCTGGAGTCGCCCCGTCATTGCCCCATGCATCGCCCCATGCATCCGATCCGTTCGTCATCCTTTGCCCTCGTCAATTTTTGCTCCCCTCTAATTTACGCGTCACAGATTCCCCGATGACTCCCCCCTCTCTCATCCACGCCATTCGCTCTCAACTCCGCCATTACATTCAAAGTGTCTTGGTCAAGGCGCCGAATAACATGTAGGAGCCCGGACTTCAACAGTTTCCCAGGCGGACCGCCGGTAAGAGGAAGACGTGCAAGACGGGGGCAGTAATTACGGTTCAGCTGATTGATTAATTGGATAACTCATATTGTCAAAAAAAATCACTTCGACTTAGCGGCATTCGGACAGTCAAATGAAGTGCTGTTCTGCAATTGTTGGCAAGTCGGTGACAAGATGAGATGTGCAAATTTCCATTCAGATTGAAAAAGCAAGGACCGCGTAAGAATTGAACTAAGAGCAATCAACTGCAAATCATTTTTTTTTTACTCCACACCCGCCGTAAAACCTAAGTAATATGTCTGTCCAAGTACTATACTTTATGGCTATTTCAAAGTTAAAGCTTCAAATCTGATGCCTTAAGCCTCAACTGGATGATGCATTGAAAGGGGGGGGGGGGAAGAGACCTGCCCCCGTCACTCCAATTCAATCGCGACAGTTATTACGGCTTGTTGGGGTTGGATGGTGCCGCTTGGCCACGTGTGACGGCAACGCTGCTATCATCCCAACCCCCGAGTTGCCAGCGCTGCCCGACACGAGCTGTGGGTGTCACAGGTGGGACACAGGTGGGACTCGGGCAGGCGTGCGGCCTTTAATGAAAAAAATCAAATGGGGATAGGAAACAAAGGGCTCAATCAATTTGGACACCTTAAATGTGAATGCTACGTTGGACGCACTCCTTGCAGGACAAGTGGGAAAGCGATTGAAGGCGTCGATGCTGTCACGTGGCAATTTCTTATTATGTCCTTTGTACCGTGTTCATCAGATGGACGCGCTTTGTCCCGAGACATATTTTTCGATAAGTTATGGTGGGGATCGATTGTCTCGAAAAAATATATTTGCATATGCAAACGGTTGATTTGTTTTAAACACTAAATATTAATGGCGCTTGCATATTTCACTAGGATTTGACAAATTCGTATGCATCTGAGCTTTGCTGGCCAGGATGACTGTACCAGTCAGATTATCTCTCATGCATTCACATGTCGAGCATTCGTAAACGAACACTGCTTGTATATCTCTGCGGCCGTAACAATGATTATAATGATACAATTACTACCTTTTAGGATGAGGGTTATGGTCAGCTCTTGTGTCGGTCATGGGGGTTGTCTGACCATACTTCACCACATTCTGTCAGTGCTGGTTGACGAAGGCAGGGAAAGAGCGGTTTCACAACTGGATCACAGATATCACTTTCCACCTATGGCTTGGAGTAAAAGCTCAAATCGTGGGGTTCATGATGCATTGTGCAAACAACCGTGCCTTCGTTCCACCCACGACTGCTATAATTACACTCTTCATAATTTGATAACGAAGGTCAAAAAAACCAAATTCAAATGTAGCTTTATATTGCAATATAAGCACGATTGGAAAATATTGTTCCTGTGGTGAAAACAATTGAAACTATATGCAAAATAATAAAACGTAAATGAAGAGTACACACACGCACATACACACATGTACGTGTGCAAATGCGCACGCTGTTCAACATACCAATTAGGTTAGTCTTCTTGTGACCTATTTTGCAATAAAAGTAAATGCATTAAATTCCACAACTGCCCAGTGAAAGCATGCACAGAATTCCATAACCGGTCGTGGAGCTCAATAAGATTTGCTTCAGCTTTGTATATTTATGCAAGTGTGTACAAACATTGGGTGCCTACTAAACCACATAAGCTAGAGTTATTTCCAATTAATTGTTGGATCAAAACACACTGTAGAGTTGGCACGCAATGGCCTGTTAATAATACAAGTTATACAACTTATAAAAAAGGAATTTAATCGTTGCAAACGAAACACACCCAAATTAAAAACAAAAACGTGCAAATATAGCATGTGAGCAGGAGGCACCTGAAAAAGTAGTCACATGTGCAAATAAGCAGTCGGTGACATACACCGCAAATCGAAAAAGACAGTGCAAATATGTGGGAAGAACGAGATGCCAGAAAAAAGTTAGGTACAGGTGGAAGAAAGAGAGATCCGACTGGGGATAAAGTTTTGAGAAAACAAAGATTAAATATATTGGTATAAAAACCCTATGCAAACGCGACACGTTCGACCAATCGATGAGGTTACTGCAACGGTGTGTGTGCGGTCCGCTTAACATTTTAGGCGGAGAAAATATTAAATCTCACCTTGCCTCACCTCGCACTACGCAATCACCCCCAGCTGCTTGCTCATCCAATGTGAGAATAAATCTGTGCCGCTTTGACCTAGACTTGGCTGGCCCCTTGCCTGTGTCCATGTCAGGAGGGAGGGGGGTGTGAAGGAAAGAGCCACTACTTTTGTAATCATAGGTTCAAGCCCTCTGATGGACAAGTTAAAAATTGAAAGAGTGAACGATTGAAAAATATAACGTCCCCCAGGTTCTCCCGGGTAGAGAGTTTGCAGCCCGTAGCAGCACGAGATGAGTAATTGAGTAAATAAATGATATATACCCCCGCTTCACTTGTATTCTATGTTTGATCTCACTTAGTTCTACCAGTACAGGGGAATTTTTTTCTTAAGTTAGCGCAGCAACGAGCACAATCCTGACTGCTGGAATGAAAGTGTGCATGCGTAAATATTGAAACGGTTTGTGGGCAGATTCAAACAGCTCGGCGCTCGTGAAATTTAAACATTCGGACTAATGTCAAATCCTCTTGATAATTGTCAAGAGGATCAAGAGGATTTGACAATCGGACTAATGCAAATCCTCTTGATAATGATCAAATCCTCTTGACAATTATCAAGAGGATTTGCATTCATCCGAATGTAACACGAATTTTTTTTCTGGGTAGTAAGTGTTATTTCGCAATTGCTTATGCCTAACAAGTATAGAAAATGGCTATTATTCCCTACAAACTTTGCTTTTGTGACCAGGACAGTGATATTTTAAATCGTACCTATTTTCAATGAGAAAACGGGGGAATTTGTGTCTTTTCGTTCACATAAAGTCAGACAAACAACAACATATGAATAAAAATGTACATGTATTTACTGTATACTAAAGTAATAAAAATTTTACTAGCAAAGATTTAGAAGCTGAGTCGTTTTTCGAGATTTACGATTATACTGTAAATCACTTTCACGGATCAGCTCCCAAATGTAGTCTCCCATCATGTTCTCGTTATACTGTCCTTGGTAGCGGCATTCAAAGTCCAGTATATCCTGGTGGAAGCACTCGCCTTGCTCCTCCGAGTACGCTCCCATGTTATTGAATTACTCAAGATGAGCATCAAGGATATGGACTTTGAGGGACATCCTACAGCCCATTGTGCCAAAGTTCTTCACCAGAGTCTCAACCAGCTCCACCTAATTTTCGACCTTGTGATTGCCCAGGAAGCCACGAACTACTGCGACAAAGCTGTTCCAAGCCGGTTTTCTCCTTACTCGTGAGCTTCTTGGAGGATTCATTGCACTCCAGGATCTTATTTATCTGTGGTCCGATGAAGACACCATCTGTGACCTTTGCCTAAGACAGCTTAGGGAAGAAGTCTTGAAGGTACTTGAAGGCTGCCGACTCCTTCTCTACAGCTCTGACAAATTGTTTCATAACGCCCAATTTGATGTGCAGTGGTGGCATAAGCACCTTCTTGGGGTCCACCAGTGGCTCCCACTTGATGCTGTTCCTCCCCACAGAGAACTCGGTCCGATGTGGCCAGTCCCGCCTGTGGTAGTGCGTCTTGGTGTCCCTGCTGTCCCAAAGGCAAAGAGAGCAGAGAAACTTGGTAAAACTGCCTTGGAGACCCATCAGGATTGCCACCATTTTGAAGTCTCCTATGACCTACCAGCCGTACTCATCATACTTTCACCCATGACTAATGTGTATATTTGATATTTTTTTCAATAACATTGTAAATTGTAAAACATTTTAAAATAATTTTTTTTTTACAATTAAATTTTTTAAAACAAATTTTATAACATAAAATTCCGAGAAACAATTGTCCATCTTACCTTCCAGAGTTTTTTTTGCATTGCTCGCAGGTGAAATGAGGTGCCCAGGGTTTGTCTTGATCCCTGACAGGCATGCCGAAATATGCCTTGTAGGCCTCACACATCTTAGTAGATGCTTTCACAGAGTACTTTTTCGCTCCTGTCTTGATAAATTGGCCGCAGACATAGCAAAATGCGTCTGCCGGATGCTTGCAGCCTGTTGATGCCATCTCAGAAAAATACAGATATGTATCCACTTAGGCAGCTGGAACTCAACTGAACTGGTGGGCTCAAGGCCCTGTATTTATGTTACTATTTATATTACTGGAAAGTTCTAGAATGTTCTAGAAGTTACTCCAAGTTTACTCTGCACTGAATCTATCTGGAATGTTCTAGAAAATAGGTAAATTTCAAAATTACACTGTCCTAGTCACAAAATCAAAGTTTGTCGGGGAATAATAGACATTTTCTGTAATTTTGAGGCATAAGCAATTAGGAAATAACACTTACTACCCAGGAACAAAACAAAATACAAATTTGTTACAGTGTAATCAAACACATAAAACCAAATTTGAAAGTTACATACACTGGATGCACATGTACAGCGCTTTGTCAATTAATTTACGCAGGAAGGACTGTCCACTGCATGCCGGTTGTGGGGATTACCTGACCGTACGCGCCACCCTGGTCAGCGTGGATCAGCGAAGGAGTACTTCCTTCTGCTGCCCTCAACGTAGCCAAGCAGCCTATAACATCACCGCTCTCATCCATTGTCCCTTGGAGTTGGTTGCCCATTCAAGCCCTATCCAGGCTCACCTTGCTTAGCTTTCGAGAACTGATAAGATCCACCACGTAAGATAATGCAGCTTGACACATTCCACGACACAGAGAGCATCACCGTTCAAATCGCACCTCCGATTTAGCACAGTTGGCTACGTACGATGCGAAAGATGTTCAACACACATACATCAGGCCCCGATTTCGTCGGGCTGGCTGTCTCGAAACTCTCAATCTCACCTCGCCTATTTTCTGGTTTTCTAACTCTCCCAAAAGTGATCGCAATCTCACAAGTTACCCAAACATGGCAGATGTTTTATTTAATATTTTTATGTTGAGATCACATGAACAAAATCCCCTCCTTACACTCCCCCCCCCCCACAACATATAGGGCCCTCTCAAGTTTATGCTGTGCTGACAGCAAAGAGCACACACACACACACTCTCGTGTGTCTGGTTTATGACGCCTACAACCATGTCAGCCCACACCAGCATGCTTTTCCTAAGCAATAAATCTCAAGGTCTGCAGTCTGAAGGCCTGTAGCGTGGCATTGGGGCTTTGGGGCATCGTATCCCCCGCTGCCCCGTGGTGCATGTACACGGCTAAGACCCTGTTGTTGCTTGTATCTGTGTTTGTGCGGAATTAGATCAGTCCACGTGTCATTTTGCACCAGCCGCAAGGACTGCACGCTGTGGTTTGTGGATCGGCGGCGCGTTTGGTCGGCGCTGCGGCCAGCCGAGTTCAATCACCAGTCACGGTCAGCAAGATCGGTGAACCAGTCCTGGGTGGACAGATTTGTGAAATATGGCCAAATAACCCTGATGTATGTACACGTGTAGAACTTCTTTCGCACCGTATGTAGCCAAGCGTGCTAATCGAAGGTGCGATGTCATGATGACCGACTTGGCGTTGGGAGGCCCTCATTCAGCAGTGGCTTGACAAAGGGCTGTAAACGAGTATGTATATTGGATTCGCCAGGACGCGCTTTTATAAATCTGTGATCGGTTGTGTGTGTTAGCAGGCGAACACACGTTTTAAGCGTCTGAGCGAATTCATTGCACCCGGTATTATTTATAGACGGCCATCTGCACCTTAACATTCAGAGACGTATTTTCATGCTGCTCCCAGTGCTGGGCTGCTCAAAGCCTTATCAGCCGTGCTCCCTCAAACAAACGCGCGGAGGACGCAAGCCTTTTGGCATCAGGTCATCAGAGTATGTGACACGTCCAATCTTGATCAAAGTAGCATGGTGCCTTTAAAGCGAGATGCGTGGGGGAAGGGGGAAAAAATAGAAGGCCAGTAGCTGAGATTGTGTAAATACCCAATGGGAAAAAGAAGATTTGTCATTGCCAGGACCGTAGCAAGTTCAAAAAGGCGTTTCAAACTTTTACTCTGGTGCTAAAAATCGAGCTTGAAGAAATGCTACGGAAGTCGGCAAGATGCTTCTGCATAAAACATGAGGCAAAGGGACATCATACCTTGAGAATTTGGAGTTAATTGCTAGTTTGAAAATAATGCATTCGTGCACATTATATAGTTTGGAAGAATATTTCCAATCTGATATGAAAAACATGATGATAAAAATAGAAACAAAATATATATATAACGATGGAGTGGCAGTCAAGAAATTGAATGTGCAAGGGAGACCATTCACTGAGGAGATGGAGCAATCAGCTCATGATGAGATGGAGCGATCATCTCGTGATGAGATGGAGCGATCATCTCGTGATGAGATGGAGCGATCATCTCGTGAGGAGATGGAGCAATCATCTCGTGCGCAACTACTCGGTGAACTATGACAGCCCAGGGTCGCGAGAGATGGCAACACATTGGTGAGGCCTTCATCCACCAGCAGATTGGCCATGGCTGATGACGATGAAATAAACAACTCTAGTATAGTATGATAATTTAGATTTTTTTAAAAACAATATTCAAATTATATTAAACACTTCTAGAAACAGGATGATTTTCCCACAACTCTGGCTGTCGCCTGAAGTTGGTGGTTATAATTACTGGCAAAACGATGTAGTCGAATTGTAAATGTTGTGGGTTTACTCTCGAACACACCGGTGTGCTGTACTGGTAACGAATTGGCCACGTTCTGTTTACGTGACAAACCTTACTAATTAGCTGTG